CCCATGCACAGACAGCACCGGAGCCCTTCGGAGCGGCTCTCGCCTCTTGCCGTGCTTTCCTCTCCTGTAGCATCCGGAGGCTGCGGAGAAGCCGCCTTTCCTTGCATATCCCTACTATCCTTTCCCTGGCCCCAGGAGAGCAATGCAGATTTTTCCCAGCTTTAAGAATAAGACGGGATTTAGTGAAAACAACACCCGTGCCCAGGCTGTTCCTTGCTGCCAGTTGCCCGCTCGGGCTGCTTTTCTCCACCCTCCTTCCCTCCTGATGGTCTCATCTGGGTTATGCCCGTGCTTTAGAGCCCTCAGCTCCCTTCTCCTCGTGAAATCCTCCTTTAGAGAAGTGCTTTTTCTCGCAGCCGTTTCTACGAACCTCCCCGCGGCTCTCGGGACGCGTCGCCTCCCGGCCCCCCGCCGCTCCGCAGCCGCCTCCAGCTCCGGAGCGAGATCCGTTGTTTTTCCTCTCCCCCCGCCTCCCGCGCGCGCGTCCAAGAGAGATTTGCAAAATTATGTTTCCATTTGGAGCTGGAAAGTTCCTGGTATGTTGATTTCTAGGAAATGTGGCTGGGGCTTGTTGCGGAGCGTGTTTTGTGAAACTCTAGCATGTGTGATACCTGCCTGTCCTCGCGCCGCAGGTCACACATCTGCAGCCCATTCCGCCCGGCGTTTTCCTGCCTTCCTTGGGGCTGGAGGGGAGCAACATCTGTGCAGGGGGCGGCCTGGGGAATCGAAGGGCTCCTTTTAATGACGCCGATTTGTGCGGAGCGCAACGTGCGTTTGTACCGCGGAGCCTGCGTTTTCCTAGAATTGTATTTTCTAGGATGGGTTTCTGTTTGGAAAGCACAAGCAGAGAAGGGAAAGAAGAGGGGAAAAAAAAAAAGCTTAAAATGCTTCCATTATATTTGGAGCTGCCTGTTTTTTCCATGAGCGCGTGTGTGGTGCCGCACGTTTGGCATGGGCTGCAGACAGGCTGCAAACGGGCAAAGTTCAGGGGATCGCGGAGGGTGGAGAGGGGCCGGAGACGCCAAAAAGCCCCTCGAGGGAAAGGCAGGTGGCACTGGCTGCAGCGAGGGCTGCGCTGGCTTCTGTTTGCCAACCTGGGAGCCTCGGCCGTAGCCGGGATGCACCGGAATCACCCGTGACGTCCCGGTGATTCCTGCCATTCCCAGCCTGGAGCCTGGAAACCCCTGGACCGGCAGCTTCAGCTGCTTGCGCTAATGTGCCGGGTGCTGTTTGGGGAAACAACAGGTTATTATGACTTAATTTTTAATTTTTTACTCAATTCAAATCTAGGATTTCATGTTCATTTAGCAATACTCAAAGCGAGCTGGATTCCAGACCCTTGCCTGTGTCTCGGATTCACCGTGGAATTCACATTAAATCCATGTCTTGCACGTGCATCCGGAGCGGCCTCGCAGGCTTCCTTGCCTGCCCTCCTTCAGCTAGGGGTTGTTAATGTATTTCAAATTAATTAAGGTTTAAGTAGTTGCACTTGAAGGAAAAAATTACGTCCAGATGTCGAAGCCTGTGCATTTTCGCCTGCGTTTTAAAACTTGTTTATTAGTACTCCTAAATTGCAGATTAAGCAGTCGTGTTGAGTTTGCGGATCATCTGGAAAGCGGTGACTAATCGAAAACAAACAAGCAATAGTAAAAAAAAAAGTTGTTTTTTTTTAGAAACCCCCAGAAACTTTACATTTTTGCACCATAGCCAATAGGGCGCATCTATCCGTATAGCCTGAGCACTGCAAAATTGCAAAGGAGGCGAAGGAGGGCTTTGCAATTTGCCTTTCCTTCCTCTCCACCCCATCCAAATTATCCACTTCTATCCCATTAAAGCTCAGGCTTTTTGGAGCAGCGGGGACTGTTTTCCTTGGTGTCACTCGCTGACTTCTCGGGGGCCCTTTAGAGCACACGTGACGCCCAACGTCCAGTAACAGGAGAGTGGGATGTGTTTGGGGTGAGTCCGTCAGAAACACGGAGATGCTTTGGCTTCGGATAATTAATTTCCCTTCTTTCAGCCAGAACACGCTCGGTTCCACAATGAGAAGCTTCAGGCTTTTGACATCTCCGGCGCGTTTACAAGGCTCTCAGCGAGCGGCCCCGCTTGCCTGTGCCAGGAGACGTATTTAAATCTCGGGGAGTAGCAGATTTTCTACAACTGTTTGCTTCAGATTAATTGAGAGCGTGGAGCCCGGCCAGCCTTCCCTGCGCCCGGCTCCCAAAGGCCGCTCTGAGCTGGAGATAAGCAGCAGCAGCAACTCTGTTCTCGAAATATAGTTGGAGGCATTATGTTTTTTGCGAGATGAAGGCTCTCGAGCTCTTTCATAACGTGGACCACATCTTAATAGCTGGTCTTGTGGGCTCCATCCCTCCCACTGCTCCTGACGCAGACGCTCTCCCCTCCCACTCGCGTTGGACGGCTTCCCTGGATGACTGCAGTAATTGCTTACGTAGAAAAATAATAAGAAGGATGCGTATAATGTATTTTTAGATGTCTCTTGGTGTGATTTAGCAATGGGCAATACGGAGCCAGGCTGCTCCGGCGGCTGCGTCCCGGCGGTGACCACGTTGGGGACCTTGGGGGCATCTGGCTCCGAGGTGGATCCTTCTTCTCCGAGCGATCCCCTTAGCGAACGTGTTTTGCAAACGCGTTGTGCAATGGGGCGTTGCTTGAACTTTGCGGTGTCGCTATCGCGGGCCGACGTTCCTGCTGCTTCGGCTGCTCGTCGGAGCAGCAGGGAGCGCGTGGGCTCGGCACAAACACATGGAAGTGCTCTCAGGGGGTGAGAAAACCAGCCTGCTCCGCACCGATAGGTGACCCGTGTGATACCGTGGTGCTCTCGATGCTGGTTCCTTCGCAGGGGGCAGGAGGCCTGGCCGAGGGCGCTGCTTTTCGCCCATGCGATGCAGTTTGGAGCAGGAGCCGCGTGCTCCATCCATCGCTCGCTTGCAGTCAGCTCCTTCTGCAACGTGGTCCTTGGTGTGGTCCTTGGCGGGGACTAAACAAACACCAAACACTAAGAGATTACAAACGTCACTACTGAAAGGGAGGGTTTTATTTTCCCCCTTCGGGTGTTTTGGGTGTTGCCACCCGAAAGCCAAGCGGCCTGGGGGGAAATGCCCGAGACACAAAGCCCCGTTGAGCATCGAGCCCTGCGCCCGCTCCGGCCGCGCGGAGCCCTTTGTGTCTCGCTGGTTTCCTGTGTTTGGCGCGGGCTCCACTTGAGCCCTTCCCCTGTAACCCTGGGCGCAGAAGTGTCATTATATCCTTCCAGCATCACTTACCGGCCTTAAGAGCTGAAAACATCCTTGCTTTTCTGTTTATGAATCCCCAAATGAATGATTTCTCCTGCTGGTCAGCACCAGCCTCCACACCAAAGCCTGTGGGAAAGTTTTGCAATTATAGTGACTCTAATGGATTTGTTTAATGTCAAAAAAACCCCGTTTGCTTTCTAATTCTGTGCCACGTGGTTCCCTGATTGCGTGGTGCACAGCAGTGTGGCTACCAAAACTGAGTCTTGCAATCCAAAGGAAGCCCTCAGGAAATCGGTGTTTTTAAACTCCGGGCTCTTCTCTAACGGGGCAGTATTTACGAGCATCTTTGACGAAAACGTGGCCTTTTTGACGCCTCGGGTAGTTGCGCAAGGAGCTTTGAGCTGCAGCCTTTGCTTTACGGGTGCGTTTTGCATTTCCCTCGGTGAAATATCTACTAAAAACGAATGCAAAAAAAAAAAAAAAAAAAAAGGAGAAACCACCCGTTCGTGATGTCCTGGTCGTGTTTTGGTCGGTCAGTTCCCCCTCCCTGTCCTCTCTCCTTCGCCCCGTGCCAGCGGCCCCGTCCTGCCATCGCGGGCGCTGCCGGGCCCGTCTCTCCCACACAGTCATTGCTCTGGGCAGGCACTTGCTCCAGACCCCGTTTCTTCAAGCCCTTCTGTGAAATTTCTTTTTATCCACTCAAATAGCCGGCATTCTTCTGGCATTGCTTGTTTTTTTCCTTTCTTTTTCCTTTAATGTTTAGAGCGGATGTTTGCTGTGTTTTCAGGTCTTTCCACTCGGGGTAGTGCCTCGTTTGCCCGACACTCTCAACCTACTCTCTCTTTTTTTGGATGTTCTTGGTGGGCAAGAGAAAACGAGTCATGCCTGGGGTTGAAGTGTTGATTTAAGAATAATATAGTCCCTGACGAAACAGTAAGTAATCCTTTGTGGAAAATCATCCTCATAGACTGTTTGTGTAAAATAATTCAAAACACAATGCTAGCCTGGTGCAAACATTTCTAGGAAACACAGCGAAGGGGCTGTCCCTCTGCGAGTGCCAGGAGAGAAGGTGGCAGGAAGCCCTGGGCTGCTCCACGAGTGCTCTGCTCCTGGCTTCGCTTCTTTACGGTGCCCAGCACCCTCGGGGGCTTGGAGCACCCGTCGTGTGCCCAAGCCTCTCTCATTGCTGTTTTCCTCCCCCGGCTTTTGTACCCCCGTGTCAAGGGAGCATCGTCGGAGAAGATCCCAGCGGTTCCGGGTCTCTCGCTCTGAGAGCAGCGCTCGCGTTTTGCCTTGTTTTTTGCCCTGTTTTTTGCCTCCATTTGCTACCGTGCCCGAGCGGGTTCCCTTTCGCACCGGTGTGTTTTTCTGCAAAACTCGCGCCGGGGCAAATCCTGCTGTTGGGTCGCGGTGTCAACCCAAGGCTGGGAGAGCTCAGAGATCAGCAGTGGTTCCAAAATGAGCCTCCGAGTTGTGTTTGCCAGGCCAGGAGGCTGAAAAGCCCCCGGGAGAAGCGGTGAGGAGGCCGCAGGGCTCCGCGGGGCCG